TTGCAGATTCGGGGTCCTCTCGCCGAGTGCAGAACGACCCCAGTTTCAAAAAAAAAAAATATATATATATATAGGGCGTTTTTTTGGCCCGCCCGCTTTACCCGGGCAGCCCCCCGGGGCCCAACCGGCCGGGCGGCAGCCTCACTCAGATATATATATAAATTGTCACAGAACTATTGACTAAGAGTGCAAACACGTGAAGTAGAAGAAGAAATAAGATGAGAGAAGAAAAGAAAAAACGAAAGGGCAGACAGGCAAAAAACAGTGTCTTCTTCTTCCTTGTTTTAGTGTATTCTTATTTCTTTCAGTGTTTTTTTTTTTTTTACACTGAACAAAGGATAAAAATGAAAAAAACAAAGACACATTGAAATCATTCAATTTCTCAGTCTTCTTAACTCCTCCACTGCGCCTCTCACGTACAAGGCTGGCCACGTTGTTGAAGTTGAGTGCGAGCTGCCCCCATCCCCRTATGCCATAACAGCCCACTTGCACGATGTGGGAAAGAGGCAGAGTAAAGGGAGAAACGTGATCATCAAACAGAGCTGCCCGGTAAACCGTAGGCAGAGAGGGAGAAGAGGAGGACAACAAACGAGGGGCTGTGACAAACTGTTTCGTCGGAGTTTCACCGACCGACTCATCAGGAGGAGGCTGAAACCTCAACAGTCTGCAGAATCCCCTACCTGGCTGATTACACTGTAAGTGATAATCCACCTTAACCTCGGCTGTGGTTAAGCATCAATGACTTCCCGACAACTGATACCCTATATAGAACCGCCCGGTAAAGGGTAGGCAGAGAGAGGGGGGAGAAGGGGACAAGAAACAAGGGGCTGAGACAAACTGCTTCGTCGGAGTTTCAACCCAGCAAAACACCCACGAAACAAAGAGAGGTCTATCGGCCTCGCTGCACTACTCTCAAAATGTTCAAAACAAGAGTGAATCTTCCGCTAGAATATGGAAAGATACACCGCCATGATTTTTGTCTTTTGTGCATGTCGAGAGTAGCGCAGCGAGGCCCTATCACAGCCAAAAAAT